CTTATTGTTCCAGCAATTGACTTTCTTCTCTATCATTAGTGAAAGAGTTCACCCCGGAGAAAACTGGGAAGGAAAGAAAGGATTTCAGCACTTTGATGCCAATCAAAGGAACACAACTTTAATGTGTGTGTGTGTGTGTGTGTGTGTGTGTGTGTGTGTGTGTGTGTGTGTGTGTGTATGTGTGTGTGTGTGTTGGGGATGGGGGGTGGGGGTGAAAGCGGGTATAATGATCAGCCTTACTTATTAAGAACAATTTAGAACAATGATAAAATGGGAGAAAATCAATGATTATGTTCTGCAGAAAAAATGACACCTTCGATAGCCAGTAAAACTGACGACTGTGGAAAAACAAGGGGAATGTCAAGATAATGGAAGGGTGCTAATGTAAGGGGGGGGGGTCGCCGACGGCAATTCCGATCCACAGAATTGGGACGAAAGAAGGGGCGGTTTGGTAAAACCAGCCAGTGTGGTTCCCTGGCGGCGAGAAGAGCCTGGGGACACAATTATTTAATTATCTAATAGCCTATTAATTTCTACAGCTCCCATTCTAACCTACAATGAAAAAAAAGGTCAATCATTTTTGTGAACCTTTAACTCCTGCTAAAGTGTATTATTATACTCATGCCGCAAACACATTTTCTAATAGCACACCCGAAGTAGCTCTCCGTCGACTTACCGATTGATTAGTCTCCACTTATACTGAGGTGGGATTTTTTATTCCCGTTTTGATTGATAACTTTTCTCTTGCACTGCTTTCCAGTCTGTATGCCCTCGGCAATGAAACAAATTTTTTTTTAGCAGAAAGCCGCAATAGATATAAAACAGGACTTTGGGCGTGCAGTTTTATGTCATCGTCGCGCGGAGATTGGAGGGACTGCAGTCTACAAGTTCTTTCACTTTGAGCGAAGCGCGTGTTTTTTTTTTTTTACCTTCTAAAGCATTATTCAAGGTTGGAATGATCTTTTGACACTTTTAGAAGAACAGAAGCTCATGGCATTAAGGGGGATTTTATTGATGAGGCTGTTGGGTTTTTGAACGATGACTCAAGGAAGATTATTTCAGCGTTCACGTCACTTTACTTTATCTGCTGCTTTTACTGTGAGGTGTCACGGAGAGGTAGAGACATCGGACCTTGGCGAACTAGAAAGACTCTTGGAGCCGGTAATTTGTGAGCTTAAGGCAATGCTTACTGGCCTTGGCGATATCGCCAACTAGTGAACGATTTGGTCATTTTAGTGTGTGGTTCGAGCGCTCGGGTAGAGACAGGTAGGCCTATTATTTAAGGCCCCGCTTGGAAATGCGTGTAGATCAAGGAGGGCAGTACGGAAATTTCACCAGTTTAAAGGTGACAAAAGTGGACGCTGACTATAAAAAAGTTGTCAAGCACTGTTTTCTAGTCTGCTTTACTCCCGCAATCCATCTTCTCTTGTGTCTCTCTCTAGCTCTGTAGCCGGGTATCCTTGCATCTGAAACACCAAAATGCCACAATTAAAATAAACAACTTACTTTGCTGTACTCAAAACCACACGAGCGATGATCAAATTCCACTTAAAGTCTGTCATTTTAGTCTCCACCCAGCACCGTTCTTTGGTAAAGTAGTCTACTCCTCCACAACGTCACGATCATCTCATTGTTAACAGAGCGCCCCCGACTATGTCAGTAAAAAACAAACACAATAAGTACAAGACTATAAAATTGCTGCTAGCAGCAAAGAAACACCGAGTCTAGCCAAATGTAAGCTATACGTTTCCACTTTAATTTTGAAGCAAAATTGTGCGTTGATAGATGCAACGATCACCGAACACAACAGTAATCGAATCGTTGATCGCGTAGCTTTTATGAGAACAACGAACTTTTACCTCTTTGTACGCATAGACTTTTCCCAGAAGGTTAGATAAACATTTAAGAAACGTGGGGCCGAGTTTCCTGTTCTCTTGATGTTACAAGATTACTTTAATTGCCCTATGAAACGGCGAGAGACACCCTTCAGTAAAATCCACAACTTGAAAGCAATGTGATAGAGTATGATTTTCAAATACAAATACACTTAAGTTTCGTTTAAGAACACAATTTAACGTTGAAGCAAATTCATGTAGCGATAGTGAACTCGACCAAACTATTGACAGAATAATTACTCTTTCTCAAACACATTTACCCTAATTTTACAAAATTAATAAAAGAAAAAAAAAACGAGACAAAAAAGCCAACAAAGAAACTGTCACATTCCTATTATCAAGCTCTTACTCTTCATAATTACTTTTACTTAATATAATTGCTTCTTCTGTTTCGGAGATGATTCGGCTTTACAAATAACGCACCACAGGACATAGCCATCAGAGCGGTGAGCTTTTCTTCTTACACTAGTTGACCTTTCCTCTACCTTGTACTGAGGGCAACACTTTTAGGTGACGCCAGTGTATCGACTTTTTAGTATAATTTCCACTTTCCAGTTGTGAGTGTGTGTGTGTGAGGGGGGGGGGGGG